TTTCAGACTAGTGCGCGAGAGCGTTCGCATGAATCAGATGGACGCGGTAGAGAAAATGATCAGCATGATGAGTGAACTGGTCAACTCGCCGACGCCTCATGTTCGTAAGGGCGGTCTTCTCGGATTGGCGGCAATTGCGATTGCTCTCGGCAATCCCGTAAGCGAAAATCTGTGCGCATAACCTTCCTCATGCGTTAACAATAACCCTTGCCTTTAGTTAAACCCAATATACGCCTGCAACCTCATCATGCCGGTGCTGTCATGTGTGCTAGACGCGGAGGGCAGAGTCCGATATTACGCATGCGAATCACTGTACAACATCATGAAGGTGACACGAGAGATGGCTTTACTCAAGTTTGATGATCTCTTCGATGCGCTGTGCAAAGTGAGCCGCCATTCGTCTTTGCATTAGTATTTATCTTAAACGCGAGCTTGTGCGTTTGTTGATTCTGTTTAATGTCGTAAATCTCTCTGCTCTCAACCGTTGAAATACGACTTTAATCATAGTTAATCTTCAGCAATGCTCACTTAACTTCTACCAGAAACGTACTAATCGATTAATGTATTAGAATCAGTGAGACTTTGAATAGCGTGTCTGACTAGAAAATGTGCAGGGAAAAGAATCGAGAAAGGAAGGAATATTTGCCTTGCAATGTTTCAGTTTATTGCAAACAGAGGCTGTGCTGTTCAGAAATATATCCTCGCATTCATCATTGAGGTAGTAGCTAACGATGAGAGCTGGAAAACGCCGCTGTATTTTAACAACCGCGGGACATCGGTTTATCGTGTATAATTATTATTGGCGACTAAAATACCATGCTTGTCATTAATTATGATATTGGAGTAGCTAATCCTTTTTTCCGTCCAGTACAGATATAATACAGTACTGAATTCGTTAAGAAACCAGGAAATTGAGGAAAGGTGCGGAAATCTAATCGCCATGATTTACTAGAATGCAACTTCTAGTTAAAGCCTACGAAAGCACACGCAATTGGAAAATCGAAAGCGTGTTCAACCGAAAGACACAGTATCACAGAAGTTATTCACAGCAGCTCTAGAAGAGGTTTTCAAGACAGTCTATTGGGAAAATCTGAGGCTGAGTAAAAACAGGTCATAATTAAGCCACCTGCGGTTTGCAGTTGATACTCTAGTCTTTTCATGGTCGCCAGAAGAACTTCAATGAAGCTGGACAACGCCAGCATGAAAGTAGGAGTGTAAATGAGCCTGAATAATACTCAGGTACTGTTTAACAAATACGAAACCGCGCGACCTGTTGACGTAAGCGGAATTAAGCTTTAATTGAAAAACGGCGTCTATTTGGTACAGCTACCTTATCTCTGTAACGGAGAACCGTCTGTGTAAAATCAATAGAAGAATAAAAATGCACGGAGTACTTTTGTAAGACTAATATGTTTTTATCCGGAAATTGCCCTTGTCCTTCAAACAAAAAGTCTCCGAACAATGTGTGGTTCCCTTACTAATCAATGGGTGCGAAACGTGAATTCTATGCCTGAAGGCTGTTCATAAACTACAGACTGGGTTAACACTGCATGGAAAGACGTATGCTTGGACAAATGAATGAGAGCACAAACAAGAGTCTGTGATGTCACTACTCTAATGAAGAAGTAAAAGTGACACGTTGCAAGAGGAACCGGTCATTGCTGGACCAAATAAACGTTCGACTGAGTTCCAGGAAAGAGCAAATGGCTAAGGAGGCCTCTGGATCGATGATAGGATGAGGTGAAGAAGTTTACTGTATCAAAATAGATGAAAATTGCAGAAAATGAGTCTGTGACAAAATTTTCGAAAGCCGTTTCCACCAGTTTTGATGAATCCTTATATGCCTTTCTATCAACATCAAAGAGTACAGTCGTTAGTTGGAGGACGTGAATGTGCATTATTCGCTGTTGGTACATAGTAGAGTCCGAGCTAACAGACCTTGTGCAAATTGCGCTTGCTGCTATTCGATTTAGTGGGCTAAGCTCAGGCAATTATATTAATGCGAGAGATACGTGGAACGGAACGTTTTTGGTGGGCGTCATCCTTCTGCAGGTCAGCAAGGTAACTAACAGCGTGCGTGTGATAGGAAGTCGCCGCCGTAATACAAAGATTATAACTCACGCGAAGAAGCCATCTGCAACCTCGTTAGTGTTAGCAGTTGAATCATCCGTTCCATTTATTCGGCTAAGGCTATAGTAACACTGTTACAGATGAAAGAGTGTAGGAGGGTAACAATGGATTGTCTCTTGGTTTTGCATTTCAGAAATGCGGGTTTCGAGTCCCAGTGCTTTTTAAGATTTTCCTATTAATCTCACACTGACCTGAGTAAGGAAATCGCTCCATGGTGCTTCGATACAACCAGCCAAAAAATGGATAGAAAAGTGTCGGTCTTTTGGTGTGTTCATGTCAGAGAATGCGAGACAAACAGCCGCGTTGTTTGTTGCATTAACCTTATGACCGTAAATTTAAATTGACAAAATAGCTTAATCGTAAAGATATCTGAATAGTGTAAGGTACTAACTCGTGGAACTGGGTTTTTCTCTATGGTGATTGGGGTTATCGCGATTAAGAGTCGATATTAACCTTGTGTTCTCCGTAGTCATTAACAGAGCGATCTTACTGCGGTTAATAGTTGCGGGACATGTCTAATAAGTCGTGGTTTTTGATCCAGTTTTCTGTTTATCGCTAGCGTCTTGCAAATTAGATGAGCTGG